AATGCCGGACACCTAACTTTGTGCGTCATTAACCTCAATGCTACACCAATTGATTTCATTTTTAAAAGGAAGGAAGAAAGAAAGATAGCTTCCCATCTGATGACAGGAAAAAAACAAACAAAGCCACATTTTTCACTTTTTTACACTGACTCATGTCTTCACAGTGAGGTCTACCTGGAACTTTTGGCATCTTTTATTATAATGAAAATTTTGGTAAGGCCAATATAGCTAAAAAACAGAAGTTTCCTCTGTCTTTATGGACATTGATGGCAAGAAAATTAGTACTAGCTCCTTTTCCCCTGATGTCAATTATTAGTGTATTTTTTAAATCCATTTTTTTGCATAAGTACTTTTAGTAATAGGCTACAATAACCATCCTGATTAAAAACAATTACACAGTAAAACATCTCACTGGTATGTTATGGACGACCAACTCTAATATGAAAATTGTAATTAGATCATCTAAACCCCCAAGTAATTAACTTGCCTATTCAACAAAATTCACCGAGCACTTGTCATGTGCTGAGCAATATTCTAGCTGCTGGAACCAGAGCAGTGAACACAATAGATGACAACTCATTCCCTTGGAGACCTCACTGTCTTGCCGTAAAATACAAACAATTCTCAAGGAAAAATAAAATGTATAGTATATACTAGATGGTAATGAGTATGCGGGGAAAATGAAGCAGGAAGCAGGAAGAGAAAGCAACTTGATAAGTAGCCAGGGAAGGCCAGACTGCTGAGTGATATTTGAGAAAATAATGGAAGGAGGTGAGGAAATCAGAGAGGAGGATAACTGACAGGTGAGCATTCCTGGAAGGAGGGAGAAGCAATGCAAAAGCCCTAATTTGGGGTGTCCGGTCATGCCCAGGAACAGCCGGGCCAGTGTAGCTGGTGCAGAGGGAGCCCAGCACAAGCTGAGGTCGGAAGGCTAATGGGTAGCGGACAGATGCCCTGGGGCTTTGTATGCCATGTTTAGGATTTTGATTTTTACTCTGAGCTAGAACGCCTTCAGAAGGTTTCGAGCAAGGGGTCAATGGTTCTGAGTTTTTAAGGGGATAGTTCTGGCTGTGACTCAAAGGAAGGGGGCAAGGGCAGAGCAGGAGAGCAGTGAGGAGGCCAGGCAGGGCTCAAATCCAAACAGAGCACTTTCTCTGTAACTGTAGGAGGAGTATTGCCTTAACGAGGTCCAAGCTTCAGGATTCACTGTCAATATTTGTTTACATAAGACAAATATTTTAATTACTCCAAGATATAGATGTCGTGAGAGTCACTCATGCACGTTGGCGTCTGTCCACAATGCCCGTATTTTAGGGGAAAGCTTCCCAATAAGCCAACAGAGTTGTGCGCAGGTTACACACAGAGTGGGGCTTACACAACAGAAGCCAGCCCAAGGAGCCTGCGTCACTGGCGGCATCTGTAGATGGAGAAGGGGTGTCGTTTCAAGCCAGGAGGGGAGTGGAAGTCCAGCTAGAGCACTGGGTGGTCAGAGCTGAGTCCTTACAGCCCACCAGGGGCGGAAGGTCCCACTCACGTCGCTGTCCAGGTGGAGTCTTCATCCAGGTGTACAGATTTGGGCGTTCCCGTTACACCCCATTACCTGAGTCTTGACATAGCATTTGACTTAACTGCCATGGGTGACAGCGACTCTACACTGGATTGTCAACAGTGTCAAAAAAGTCAGCTCTGCTCTTTCTCCACACAATAGGTAAAGGAGCAGTACAAACACAGACTAAGCACAAAGTGTTTGCTTTCAAAAGTGCACAGTTGTTGTCTAACCATACATCAGTATTAACGCTCAATTATGTTTCCTTCATTGTCATAGCCATTTCCAATTACCAGTAATTTAAGTAACTGAGAGAAATGCTGTAATTATGTAGGCCTCATTCTGTGAATATTTAAAAACCAATTTTCTTCCCCAGAGTTGTAAAATTTTGTATTAACTTTATTTATTGTTTTAATTTTGCTTTTTCTGTTTTAATTTTAGATTCAGAGATATTAAATTATAACTTGGAACCATATTGCTAAATATTTAAGATATATATTAAAAATCTTTAGCCTAGACCAAATTGGGTTTTCCATTTTATAGCCCATTTGTTAATATTTAGACAACTTGTTTCTTTCCTTTATGTAGTTTTTGGCATCATCCTTTTTTCTACCCGTGTGTGGACAAAAAGGGGTCACACAGTAACCTGACCGGCCCAGGGGAGGCCTGCGTGGTGGCCTTACAGACTCAGAGACCTGGAGTAACCACAAAGAGTGGTCTGACATTAAAACTTACTAACTAAAAGCAGTTCCTGGCAGGTAGGCATGTCCTAGGCTAGCATCTTCCCTGACAAATGTCATTCTTTACCTTAATTGAGCCTGTCTATTGTCTTTTTGCACTTTTGACATTACCTTTGCAATGCCAAAGTAATTTTCTTTCTCCAGACCCCTCAGCTGCACCAAAATACCCACATGGAGACCACAAAACCCCTCACTGTTATTATCTTCTTAACTGTTGACTGTTAACTATCCTGTACCCATCTATGTGAAAGAAGTATGAGATCTGCCCAGAAAGAGTCCAGCCATTGTTAATATAATGAGTTTGCACAACATCGATGTGACCAGGCAGCCAAGGAGAGTGGACTGGAATGCACATATGTGAACAATGACGACTTCACTTTACTAGTCAGTGGGGCAGTAGACGCCATTGAGTGAGCATGTGTACTGTGTGGCCGTCACATTCAAATTACTGAGCGAGTAGAGTAAAAAATCTGCATCAAATTTTCTCTTAAGCTTGAGCATTACCCTGGGGAAACTACTCAGATGACTCAGGAGGCCAGAGCTATGGGCAGCTGGTGACTGGCAACTTCGTCATGAGAGTGCACCTGCTCATGCATCAACTCTAGTGCAGTTTTTTTGGCAAAACATCAAATCACCCAGGTGACTCAGCCCCACTACGGCCCAGATTTGGTGCCCTGTGACTTCTGGCTTTTCCCAAAACTAAAATCACCTTTGAAAGGGGAGAGATTCCAGACTGTTGATGAGATTCAGGAAAATATGATGGGGTGGCTGGTGGCTAGTGGGATCCCAAGGTGCTTACTTGGAAGGGGACTGAGGTGTCCTTGTCCTATGTACAATGTTTCTTGTATCTTCTTCAATAAATGTCTCTATTTTTATAGTGCATGGCTGGATACCTTCTGGATAGACCTCATATATGTCTATCACTTTAGTTTTTATCCAATCCTAAAGGTCCACCCCATTTACTTTGTCGCACCTCCCTGATCTCCTTTGACTGTAATGTATAAAATAAGCTGCAGAAGTGCCATTCTCTGGAGCATTTCCTCAATCCATTGAGATTTTGCTTCCCAGCAATTGTCGTTAGTTTGGCTCAAATCATCTCACTAAATTCTCTGCAGGTTTAAATGTTTCTTACAGTGACAAGTGTTAAATTTGCTTTTTACCACTGGTAATCAAAATAGATACGAAGTTCAATTTTGTTATAAGTGTCAAAAATTGTGAATATTTTGAAAACTTTGGTAAAAGCTAAGTTATTGGCAGTCTAGCATTCCCAAGCAAATTTAACACTTGTCAATGTAAGAAATATTCAAACCTGTAGAGAATTTTTCTGAGTTTATTAGAGTCAAACTGACAATTGCTAGGAAGCAAAATCGCAACAGATTGAGCAAACACTAGAGAATGGCAGTTTTGCAGCTTATTTTATGGGTTAGAATCAAAGGAGGCCAAGGGGGTTACATGAAGTCCACTGGAGATAGATTAGGGAGGTGGGAGAAAGAAAAGCAGGGGAAACCTCTGGGAGTAGACCAAACTAAAAGGAATAAATAGACACACTTCTTCTAGGGCAGTTAACAATTAACATGACAACACGGAGGGTTTCTGTGGTCTCTAGTTGGGGCGCTTCACGTATGGCGGTCCTAGGGCATCAAAAGAGCAATGAAACAGGCTTGGCTAAGGTAAAGATTGACCTTTGTTCAGAAAGGTGCCTGCCCACGACGCGACTAAGGGCCACCAACTGATTTTAGTTTAGAAAGCTTTCATTTCAGACCCTCCTGTGTGGCCACTTTCGATCTCCTGGTGTATGAGACCCCGGACTGGCCTCCGGAGATGGGCAGGTTTGGCACATGGCCCCTTTTCCCCACCCCCGGGACCCGAGGGAAGGCTCGGGGTGCTTTCAGCTGTAATTGTTCTCGCTTTCACCGCGAACCACAGCACGAAGACTAACAAGCAGGCCGTGATTGAACTGCCGGGGATTTGGAACAGCCCTCGCGCAGGTGAATCGCTTCGCCACTCAGCAGGGATCAGGGCCCGCTGCGAAGCGCAAACGGCTTTCTTCGCTTCCCTTCGGAGTCCACGAGAGGCGGGTTCACGTATGCGGGTGACGTCAGCCCAGTGGGTCGCGTGACCCACGCCCCGTTTTCCCCCCCCCAGACCCCGCCCCACAGGCAGCGCGAAAATCTCGCGATAACTGCCTTCCTCTCGGAACCTGCCGAGCTGACTGGGAGTCCCTCAGGAGCGGAGGTGTGGTCGAGGGGCGGTGTTCTTGTTTTCGTTCCCCGAACGTGAGACCGACCCAAAGCCGACGCCTTTAGGGGACTGCCCTAGTGTGAGCACCCCGACCTGGAAGAGGCGGGGAGGTGGAGACCAGGGGCAGTCCTGCGGAAGGGAGGCGCGACACGGCGGGGTAGCCCTCGCGAGGGGGCCGCAGTCCTGGAGGTCACGCGCTGCTCAGTGCTCTGTCCAGTCGGCTTGTCCCAGCCTCTCCTCGCTCGGGCGCCCTTAAGACCGGCGAGGACGTGGGCTGGGGTCGCCAGGGGGGTACGGGGAACGCCGCGAACTGGAAGGTGTCGGTCCCCGGGCGCAAGCCTCCCCAGCCCCGCCCCGCCCTCGCTCCATGCCCCGCCCCCTCCCCCTCCCCCGCTCCCGGGTCCGCCCCGCCTTCATGCCCCTCCCCCAGGGTTGGAGTCCCGCCCCGGCCCCGAGCCTCCGCCCCGGCTCCCTAGCTCCTCAGCCCCGCCCGCCGGCCCTGGGATTGTTCGCAGCTGCTGGCTGCTCGCGGCTCGCCCGCGCGGGCTATTTGCCATTTCCCGGCCCCAGTTTCTAAGAGCTCTGCCCCTGCGTCGGGGAGGCAGACTGGAAGAGAGCGGCGCGACATCTGTAGGGGCAGCCGGGCCGAGCGCAGGAGGAGGCGCCCTCTGCGGTCACCGCCGCCCCGCGCGATCCCCGCGGCCGGCCACTCTCGGACGTGGACGGCGAGCGGGCCCGGGGACAGCCCGGCCCCAGCATGGCCTCCACCACCACCTGCACCCGGTTCACGGACGAGTACCAGCTCTTCGAGGAGCTCGGAAAGTAAGCGCGGCGCCGGGGAGGCGGGGGCCGGGGAGGGTGCTGTCCGGGGTGGAGGGCTCGGGCCAGGGGCCCTGCCGGCGTCCGCCTCCGCCCGCCCGCCTCAGAGCTGTCACCTCGAGAGCCCGTGTGGACGCAGCGCAGACCCTTCTGTGTAAGCGGAGATGCCTCCAGAGCCACGGGGCGACCACTCGCGGACGGGTCGTGCTGTCCCCTCGATGCCGTGTTTCTGACGCCCGAAATTCCACGTCCAGAGAGGGGCCGCCCAGACCAGCCGGACCCTGCCTGTGCCCCTGTCACTCTCGGCCCGGGTGATTCGTTCGCAGTGCTCCCGCGCGTCCCCTTGGCCCCCGGGGGACTTACACGCGGCGGAGAGCCCTTAGGACACTGGGGAACCCCCTGGGTGGCCTAGCGGTGCGCCGACCTGCAGGACCGCTGGAGATATGCAGGGATTGAACAGGGACTCTCCAAGGCCCTGCCCGGGGACCCAGAGGCTGGAGGTGTGCAGGGAGAGACAGGGACCTACTTAGGGTCGGACTGTGCACTGGGACTCCTGGGCGACCGGGATGCTGATTTACGATTTATGCAGCATCTGACCCAAACCCGTTTCCACTATTACTGTTGAAAGGGTGCGGTGTATGGGGTGTTTCATGCAGCGGAATGAAAGGAAATGGGTACATCTTTTAAATGGAATAACATTCTATCCTTATATGTTTCTGCATTGTTTGCTGTTAAAACATGGAGAATATGTCGGAAGAGCAGCTTAGTTCAGATCTCTCCCCTCCCCCAGCCCCAAACCGGGCACACAGAAATCGCTGCCGTACCAGGATGTTAAACCACATAAATGTACCCAATATTTATATTTTAATGAAAGCAATCGCCATGTTTACTTACTTGGAGCCACATTAATATTTTTCCTAGCAAAATAAATAGGCAGCAGGTTTTTGTTGCTCTTCCTCAGCTCTGCTCTTTGCAGGATTTTTTCTCCAAGCATTTGGTGCTGTGTGACTGGGAATGGTAAAAGCTTCTCAGATTTCATGTGCAAACAAGAGCCTCATAATTGGCAGTTCCTTTCATTTTGTTGATTAATAATGCGTGCTCCCAGTTAAATAAAATTTACTTTTATTTCTCATTATTAAGGAAGGTCTTGGTTTCCAGGAAGATTTGGTCATTTTCTGGGTATTATAGTAGTGCACTGACACTTGAAAATTTACAGAATTTAACAAAAATGCTCAAATTCTTATAATTTTTAATGGACTATCAGCTGATTATATTGATCACCTGGTAATTTTTAATTTTCAGGGGGGCTTTTTCAGTGGTAAGAAGATGTATGAAAATCCCTACTGGTCAAGAATATGCTGCCAAAATCATCAATACCAAGAAGCTTTCTGCCAGGGGTAGGTGTTTTCACCTGTGTGAGATGTTGATTTTGTATTTCTCGTGCCCACTTGCAGGTACATTAGATTGTTATAATTGAATGTATGGAGATTAGTTCCTTCTGAATGCCTCTTGGTCTGTACAACTTCAAATATAATTTAACAAGTTATAAAAATTCTGTCGTATGAGCAATAACATAAATAACTATAATTATGAAGTAAATAAATGTCACCGAGTGCCTTTTGCCTTTAGCTCTACTCGGAAATAACTTCCAGAAAAGCGCTGGAACAGAAAGTGTAAGTCTCATAACTGTCATTCCTTTTCTTTCTGAGAGGAAAAATAGGTCAGAGCTCTGGTGAATCATGTATTTCAGTTGTAGTTACACTTGAACCTGATGCATCAAGGTACATTTAACACTGGTGGCTTTGGGAGGCAAGCTTGACTGCTGTATTCTAGAAGTTCAGCTGATGTTGCTGTTTCTGTGTGTGGTTCAGACCTTCACTTGGCCTACCGTGCGGAGATTGCTCACAGACCTGGAATGTATTTTGCACATGCTTAGTAGCCTCAGAGATAATTCATGCTCGTGAAATAGCTGTTGACATAAGCAAAAAACTTGGAGGGCCCTCACTGCACTCTTGTTACTTCTTTCGACTCATGCAAAAATACTTCTGCTGAAATGTTAGGTATCCCAGTTATTGTGAGCACGTGTCTAAGGTATTTCCATGGGAACTATGGTTTAATGAAAGAAAAGGAAATTAAAAGGAACAAAATGCCATAGTGTAAGCCCATTTTAGTGGCCTGGTTTATTTTGTTTTAAGTAATAAGAAATTCCTTGAGGGTTTAACTTGCCTTGTGAACAGCTCTGCTGCCCAGGCCTTGGTATCATGGTGTTTGGTCTCCGTCACGATTTTTTCTCTGTTGCAAATTGCACTTTGAAACGGACTTTAGGTTTAGGCTGGAGTTTCAGCGTACTCGTGGGGGTGGGGGGTGATTCAGAGGAGCCTCTGTGCTCCTGCGGCCCAGGGCGGGGCCGAGGCCCAGGTGTGGCCCCTTCCTGCGCCCTCACCCAAAGGGAGATTTTCCACTGGGAGCAGGAGCTGCTAAACCCGGAATGACTTTCTTCTTTACAAACGGCGCACTCGAGGCCCAGCTCTTTCAGGGCTGGCTCGATCTCTTGCTGTGCGTGGGGCACGTCCACTGGGGGGGTCCACACGAGGGGGGTCCCGCTTCCTCCAGAGCGGCACTGCTCCAGGCTCCTCTCCGAGCAGGAGCGCTGTGCCCCGCTCAGTAGCTGTGTCCGGACGGGCACCGCCCCTCGCACCCCCGGGAAGGCAGGCGCTCGGGCCCACGCGCGCCGGGCCCTCTGGCCTGCGGGGCCCCTCTCCTGCACCTCCAGTAGTGTGGCCAAGCATCCCGCACCCTGCTCAGGCCCGCCCCTTGCCACAGGTCCCTGGTGGGAGAGATGGGAGTGGTGGGAGGGGGCCAGCAGAGAGACCGGCCTCTGCGCCGCTCGCGGGGCTCCCGCAGGCTCCTTACCTGAACCGCCAGGGTGCTTCCTGTGAGCCTGATGTCCTTACTGTCAGAGGGGGCGACACTGGAACGCTTCCGCCATGGGGCTGTGAGCAGCAGCTGCTGGGAGAGTGGGGTTGGTGGCCTGTGGTCAGCGGCAGAGGCAGGGCCAGCCCCGTTCGCTGCGGGCGTGGTGCGAGAGCCTCGTCTCCGCTCCTGAGTGCGTGGAACCCAGGCCAGGCAGCTGTGAAATGGGACAGCACTTTTCATTCACAGTGTTCGATTTCCTTAGTGTCATCGAAACAATTAGACCTGGTTACCTAGTGTTTGTGCCTTTGAAGGAATACATTTGTTCAGTCTATGCCCAAATTAAATGATTACTTTCATTTTGTAGTCTAGCTTTCCACTGCGCTGGGCACACGGGCGGCCCGGTAGAGCGGCAGGTGAAGCGGATTCCTCAGCGGTTCGGGAGGGAGGGGGCACATCCCAGAGGAGGAGCAGGCGGGCTCAGGGGTCTGGGCACGCGCGTTCGGAGCGGATGCTTCGGCAGTGCACTGCTTTAAAGACCCTCCGTGCGCAGGGCGTAATGACCCTAAAACACTGCTTTTACAAAAGGAAATTTGTAAGTGATATATTTAAAGAGAAATGTAGAATGATATATAAAGTAGCATGCTTATTTTTTTTCTAAGGTACTGGCTTTGGCTGCATATGGCAGTTCTTGTGGAACATACAATTTTTTGTGCGGATTTCTGTTTTATTTGAACTGCCACTTGCCTTTTTAAATACACGTTTTAAGTTTATTTGTTTTAAAGACCAAGCAGGTCCTTCAACTCAGATAAAATTCTTTAAATGTAAGATTACAACTGAAAAAGAAAGGCTGTGGTCAGTAATTGTCATCCAAGACCATAAGGGAATTGCCAAAAATACGGCTGCATTCCTGCCGAGTCTGCACATCACCCGCCCGGTGGCGTGGCCGGGCGTTGCTCCGGGCGGCCTCCGCGGACCTCCAGCAGGCCGCGTGCTTCCTCTCAGCTGTCAGCCACACGCGCCATATTTGGGAGCCTCGCAGGCCCCAGGCATTTCTTTCCTTTTGCGTTAACACATGTGTGCACAGGGCATTCCTTACGTAATACCGATCAGATACGTCCACTCACATACACTTTGGCTTGTTTCAAAAATAAGTCATGTAGAAACATCTCATATTTTATGTGAGATTTCTGTCTTCCAAGAAGTTTTGTGTTAGGAATAAAAAGCATGCTTGGTAATGCAGAGCAGGGATACTGGAATTTTCTCATGTTTTACCATGAGAATCGGAAATCATATTTTGATCCCAAACCTTTGGGCTCATACTTACTTCGAACTTGGCCTGCTGTCTTGATAATTTGTCTGTTTTGACACGATTGTAAGTGTAGGGCATTGTCAGGCCCTGGAAGGTCCATGCAAGGCTGTGGCTGAATTCAGAATTGGTGACTTCGACTGGCTCTGATGGCACAGGCCTTCAGAAACAGACCTGGACGGACGTCAGCCCTTAGAGCCTTCCTGTGGTGAAAGATATGTTATGGTCCTGGTGACTCAGTGTTCATCTCCAAGTATATTTTTTGATCATTAGAAACCACTTCTAATTACATACAGCCTGACATGCTAGGAGTCACTGTTTTGTGAAATGCAATGAATTACAATAAAAGCTTGAAATAATATGTGCTAAAATAAGTATCTTTTACCTCTACTCTGTTGCAAAAGTTAGGAAAGGGTTTTTCCTTTTATATTTCTGTAAAACTTCAGATATAATGCAGCTAAATCATTTCGGTAGTCTTTGATTTTACTAGTTTTGTTAATTCCTAAGTAGATGACTTTATAAAACTACTTGACTGTGAACACAAAATTAGGTCTCAGCTATGAAATCTGAAGGTTGCATATATGTCCCCGAGTTTCTTTTTTATGTTACAATAGGGATGTCAATAACTAACTCTTGTTATCTTCCCTTTTTTTTTTTTTTGGCATTTAGACAGTCCAGAAATTATTATAATTTCTCAACCTTTTGGTTACTTATCTTGAAGTAGAAGTAGATCTGAGATGATACAGATGAGCAATCTTGTTCTGAATATACATGATTGATTTGACAAGTTAGAACTCATTGGACACACTAATATTAATTTTAAAAAGTTTCTTGGCTCCAATAATATTTTAAGGAAAATTAGTAAATCATTTTTATTTTTGTACATAGAACCTCTACAACTCTTCAATTATGGGCCCAAAGTGGCATGTATCATCCTTCTCATTTTGTGTTCTTTAGTTATGTTTGTTATTTCCATTCTTATGTAGGTCTTGATATTAGACACTTATTTCCCTTTTTTGGCGAGAAGGAATATTATTATTTAAAACTAAGTAGAAGATAAAAATAAAAGTGTATATCCACACTTCCAGGAAATAGTAAAGATCCTTCCTGTCTTCCCGCGTGATTAAAGGAAGCAGAGGGCGTGGCGGGCAGGCGCCTGGTTGTGGTGTTCACAGCCAGTGGCAGCGTCTATGTGACTGGTCATGCGGTAGAAATCGAACACTGTGAGAACCGTGATTGTTTATACAGTTAGATCTATACTTGTCATTTCCATTGACATACTGAATCACCTTGATGCAAAACTTAAAATTTAGTGGTTAATTACTTTTTATGGTTTCTTTTAATGTTAATTGTGAATTTTCTTTGGGCTAATACTGAGGCATGCTGACTGCTAGGGTCTCTAGGGCTGGGTTGGTTTTTCTTTTTTCTCTTTTTAAACAATATATACATTCAGAGGTTATGCAACTACTTAGACTACAATTCGTGGTATAGAATACTAAGAACTCCTAGCCCATATTTCCTTTCCAAAATGTTTTTTTTAATCTTGTTTGTCCTTTTTTTATTGTAATGTTTTTCCATTACTGTTTATGCCCCTTACATCTGCCCCGTGATCACTACACCGTTGTCCATGTCCACAACTTCTTGGTGTTTTTAACATCGGTCCTTTTCCATCTTTTAGGGTATAGCGTGTACAGGTTTTTTAAAAAATAAATTATTGGCAATTAATTATTGTCTACATAAGAGATGTGTGAAATCTTTTAAGTTATAGTAGCAACATTTAGTATCACTTTATTGTGATACATTAAATGGAGTCTAGTAATATTTTTAGTCTAAAACAATATTTTTATAATAGTAACATATTTCATACTACTTTATAGATTATCAAGCACATTCACTTATTTTATGTGTTTTCATTTAATAAATATTTAGGGGATATTTTTATTTAATACAAATTTAGGAAATAATAAATAAATATTTAGGAAAAATAAGGCTTACCTACACAGTAGATGCCGTGGAAGACATAAATGGCGCTGACGTCTGGCATGAATAGAGTGCTGTGGATTTTCAAAGCAGGGAAGATTATTTCTGCCTAGGGAGGTGAAGGAAGACTTTTATATAATATGGATTTAAATAAAATTTTAAAACAATAATGCAGATAGTGTTCAAGTATGAAAT